GTGCGTAAAGTGAAGGGTGTTGTGGTCGTTAATATGACTACAAAATTAAAACTCAACTTTCAATCCCTTTCAAGCATAAAAATGAGCTGAAAACTCACCAAGGCTAGGATTCATGTTTCAACGCTGCTTACGAAATTTTTTAAAATTCGAGAATTGTTGAAAAAATATTCGAAGAACAAGCTTTAAAAAAGTTGGCCCAAGTGTGGGTCGTTTCCAATTTCTCTAGGAAATGAAGTTTTTACACCAGCAGTGAGTTGCGAGACTTTTGTTTCCCTGCGAATAAAGCTGCTCTTTTTATTTCCATGTTCAGGATCTGGACATTTTTATGTTACGAGAATAATTTTTCGACCTTCCGAAAAGTCATATTTCTTTTTCCCGATCCCGAAAAATAGATAAAATCAATTTCTTTTCGTTGCACCTGTCGACCTTGCGATGATATTTTTACAACGTCTTCCATATATGGCTCAAAAACTTCAGAGTTTCTCCAACATATAAAAAAATTACCTTGACGATGAAGCACCTAATGGATCAACAGTCATCACAGAAAAAGTGCAAAACCATAAATTTTCATTTCGCAAACTTTTCGAAGGACAGTGAAAAGCAACTATTCTTGATGAAAATATGGTTGGAGTCGATTGAAAATCCAATTTGAATCTGACATCAAAATGTGAAGAGACCTTCGTGTTTCAATTTCGCAACAATTTAAGAAAAATCTGGCACTTCGAATATATTTTGAAAATTTGCATCGCCTCTCTTCCGCAAAGCTTTGGTTTTTAAAAATTTGTGGAAAATTTAATTTTTGTTTACTCGAAATGAAAATCTCACTGGAATACATTCACAAAATTGAATCACTCTTTAGTAAGCTTGAATCATAAATTATTATTATTCCTTTTTTAACGTGCTCAATAAAAAAAGTTTATTTGAAAGTCGTTTCTAAGTTAATCGATTGATTGATTAATATCCAAGCTTCATTCAAAAGGTTTACAAAAACTATCCGAATTCCTCAATGCCAATAACTGAGCACAAATTAAAGCACACTTCGTTCAGCCTGCTGTTCCTAGATAATTTTAATTGTTTAAAAAATTTAGAGAAAATCTTTCAGGGGAAATCAAATGAAGCTAAACGTAATCCTGGTCCTCCGACCTAAATCTAAAATTATCAGACAATTTTTCAAGACAATCCAAATCTAAAGTCTAAAACACTCGTAATTTTTTTATTGTATTAAAATCAATGCAAAATACTACATGGAATATCACGCAGAAAATTGAGGTAGCAATGAATTCAGATTTTCATGGCATTCGTGGATGAATTTCCATTTAAAATTTTCCTCACGTATTTTTCGCTGAATTTCACTCTTGTTCAAATTTTGGAATACTGTACTTTAAAGCCTTTCCGTTGAATTGAAAGCGATGAAATAGTGCCGTGGGGGGTTTTTTCTTTATACATTCAGGGCTCTGAGCCCCGGGTTGAGGAGGGTTTATTTTCGTTTGGGTGACTCACGAATGTGCAGAAGGGATTTGCATGGGTAACGAGCCCCAAGACCCCGGGTCTTGATTCCGCTTGTGTTCCGTTCGTGTAATTTCCGCGGCGACAAGGATCAAGGCAGTGTTTGACCCGGTTAATGAGGGCCTTTTGTATCCCCTGGTTCTGGGTTCCAACGGAACCCAGGGTTCGATCCAGGGTTTCCTTAGTCTCTGGGTCCCGAATCCCGAGAACTTCGTTCGTTGTCGGATTCCTACCGTACAGTATAAATAAGGGTCTCAAGTTATTTAGACCCGTAAACGATAAGCGTGATCGTGCATTTAAAAAGTGGACTGGGAAAAGTTGGGGAAATGTGGAAAACTCAAATTAAATTACGTTTGAGCCTCACGTTTTACCGATTGTGTTTTTACATGGATGCATGTACAGTGAGACCCCCACATGCGGACACCTTGACCTGCGGACAATATGATATGGGGAAACTTATTTTATCATAAAAATCAATAAATAAGGCCCAACATGAGGACACTGACTCGACATAGGGACATTTTGTGATAAAATTACAAATACATTTTCAGGCAAAATTACAAGAAACCGATGTTTCCAACTCTAAAATTTATGTAAGAAAAGTTCTTGGACATTTCTCTCCCCAATTTACCATCTATTTAGCTAATTTAAAATAATTACCTCCAGCATAGAGGGACTTCCTTCTCTCTTTTTCACTTGAATTTTATTTTATTTTTACAGAAAATGCCAACACTTCTGTATGTACTGTGCAGATGAGGTATCAGTATTCAATTCCCCAAATGTTCATATTGTGTTGAAATACATTGATTGAATCAGTTTAAATTGGGAGAAAATTTTTATTTTCATGGAATTAGGGTGAGTATTTTGTACATGAAACACCAATTAAAAATTATATAATGTAAGTCTAAGGGAAAATGAGACTCAACTTGGGGACATTTCGACTTAGGGACACTCTTGATGCACCAATTACGTCCGCATCTTGGGGTCTCACTGTAATTTAAGTCTATGGGAAAACATGACTCAATTTGGAGATATTTCAACTTGGGGACACTCTTTATGCACCAATTACGTCCGAATTGCGGGGTCTCACTTATATACACTACCTAATTTTATTTTTTGGGGTTACTCCTTAGTTAGCTGATCATCAAATCAATTTATGATTTACCGATGATAAAAACTTCTTTACTGTGAGAATATTATACTTAAGAGTCAAAAGTAGACCCTAAAAAATATTAGATTCAATTAACACCGCTTCAGATTTTATGCTCATCAAATATTTAATTCAATTGAAAAATCTTCAGGTTCCAACAGCCAAACTCTGCTAAGAAAGCGTTTTTTGAAATCAAATTTCATTTTTTAAGCGCAATATGTTATCCAAGTCAGGGGAGAAATTGAAGAAAATCCGTGGCTATTGGAAAGTAACTGATTTCTGATTTTCATTTTGATCAAAAATTACACAGAAGAAAACCAATAAAATTATTTATACAGTACTATAAAAAAATTCTAGAAATATTTGTATTAAATTCAAATTTGATATCGTTTTGGTGCAATTGGCACGTTTTCACAGCTCCTTCCTTTTAAAATCCCTTTCAGATTTCTCTTCGATTCATTATTCAACCTTTTTCTTTAGCTTTGAGGGCTTCCAGTGTTATTTAATTGTCATGAAAAATATTAAAATGTAACTGTCCGATTTTTTTTATGGCAGATCGGTGCGAAATTTGAATTTATCATGGTGGCAAGAAATTCTGAAAGCAAAAAATGCAGTTCAACCGTTTTATTCGAAAACTTTTTTTAAAATTCCGATTTCGATTAACCTCGAATTACCTTTTCCTCCAGGAAAATCTTACGAAATTTTAAAGTAAAATTCTGCAAGTATATATTATTAAACTTCAGTCCCTCGGATTTCTTGCCAAAATGCAAAGCAGGGTTCGAAACACAGTCTGTGAGCTGGATTACGACAGCCTGGGGGCGTAATGTTTATTATTTTAGAATAAGCTGCCTGAAATACACGCGTGTACAACTGATTTATAATTGGATTCAAGGGTTTCGGGGGTCGAAATGTGGGGTAGGGAGTGATGGTAAAGCAGCAGTCGCATCTGTCGTCCTGAACGAGGCGATTTGTGACGAGGATTAAATAGCTGGTTGACAAGGCATTGAATGAAGAAAAAAATAAAGTTTGCAGCACCAGATGCGCTTCACATCAGTATTCATGATGTCACGTCGTCGTCGTCGGGAGAGACATCAAAGCAGCCTCGACCAGCTAACTGGATTCGGATTTCAGCAGTAGTTTTCATTTCACCTATATTCCCCGTACTATATATCCATGAATATATTCCTTTTCTGCTGTAAAACATTGTTTTTTTCCAGTCGAACCTCTTCAGATCAAACTTCAATAGGGACCAGCAAAATATTTATTCAAGTTAGGCAGGTTTCGAGCTAGGGGGGAAACGAGCATTATTTTGGTGGGGTGGAAAAATTGCAGGAAATTGTAATTGGGGATATTATTTGGATCCTTGAAGTGCTACTTGAAAATATGCTACATTTAGAGGCAAGTGTTCATTTTGCTCAATTAGGCTATCACTTCCTTCAAAAATGCATCATGATACGTTTTTACTAATATTCTCTTTTTTGCTGGGCTGAGAATAAAAATATAAAGAATAAAAACACATGAACCGCCGCAAATTGGTTTTGAAATTTATTTTTGCAATATTTTGTCAGTGTATAAGGAAGAAAGTTTTGATGAAAAAAAAAGTTTAAAGATCTTTCTCAAGCTTTTGAACTTCATGCAGCAGCAGGAAAATCTTGAAAAATTAATTGGTTCATGGGCTGAAATATTCTTATAAAGTACATTCTTGTGGCTTTTAGAAACAATTGAAAAAAAGGAATTGACATGAGTATCCAAAAATTATGTATTCAGTTCCTGATGGTGAAATTCTAGCATCACAAATGTATCAAAATGAATTTATATGCTCGAGTTTAGTTTACAATATTAATTTTTTTCAAAAGAATGCAGGAAAAGTACTGTATTTCTTTCAAAACTGTATATTGAAGGTTTTTCATATTGCAGTACAAGGAGATGGTACCAGCTCTGAGCCCTTTTGCAAATAAAGTTTAAATTTCAAATATTTGACAAAATTTTGTTATTAAAATTGTAAAAAAAATGTATTCAACCTATCTAAGTATATAAATGAAATAAAATCAAGCCAAAGAGAAAATGTGGAAGTGAATGAGTTGTCAGGATGCTGAAGTTGGAGACAAGAACGTGTTTGCTCAAGTATTTAATGAAGCACTCATAACACCATCATGTAACAAAATGTTCAGTGTATTTCCTGTGGAAAAATCACCCTTCGGAAGAACTATCGTAGTCCAAGGATTTCTCCTTTAGGCAGCAAATAACACGCGCAGCCCCTGGATAACCGGCGGGTTCGTTTCTTAAATATTTAACAAGTTTTGGCGGGAAGATGTCGCTCCATTCTTTGATAGACCAAAGGCACGGATGATACGTCAAGTAGGAGTAGTGCAAGCAGAGCATGTGAGGCGAAACCGACAGCAAACAAGGTGCAATGTGAAGCACAGATATGCAGACGTCGAATGCTGACGGGTTCATGCAGATGATGGTTGGACAAATGCTCAGAAGGTTCACTTTCAGGCTTAGTTGGGATGGGAAGCAGCACAGCGTGTGGGAGTGAATCGCCAAGAAGTTGATCTGATGAATAATGGGGGCACATTTACATCAAAATTTTTCATTATTAAGGTTGTCCAAAAAATTTGATGTTAACTGTCTGCAAATTTCTGGAGTAATAACAATGCATAGGTTGAAATGGATTTTATTTAAACAAATTAAGCAGTACAGTATATAATTTGGATTAAATTGGGGATATGCCTCAGTGACATCTACCAGCAATAAAGAAGTGTAAATCTGTAAAATTGAGTAGTATCAACTAGATTCAAATTAAATATTTTTTGTCGATTTGACCGTTTTTAGAATGTTTTAGAATGTTTTTAGAATGTTGTATGTGCAATGCATTTTCGAATGGCATTTGAAATAAAATTTTAAAATGTATGAAAGGTATTTTGATATGTACAGTATTTGTAGAATTTATCAAACGGACTACTTGTCTATATTCTCTCTGTAACAACCTTTTTAGAAAGAAGAGAGATCTGTTTAGCGAGAATATAATTGGAATACATTTTTTTATATACAATGTTTGAAATGTTGTTCTAAAACATATTTGAAACACATCTGAAATATATACAGCACATTGAAAATTTAATTGAAATGAGATGGAAACGCATTAAAAAGTATTTCAAATTGCTATGAAAATGTATTTGAAGTTTATTTTGAAAATATAATTGAAATGTATTTTAAAAATATAATTGCATTGTATTTTGAAAATATAATTGAAATTTATTCATAAAATGAACAGAATCTAAAATTTAATATAAACGTATTTGAAATGTAGTCTTAAAAAATATTCGAAATGTAGTCTTAAACCATATTTTAAATGTAGTCTTAAAACATGTTTTAAATGTAGTCTTAAAACATATTTTAAATGTATTTGTAAGATATATTTAAAATACATTTTCGAAACATATTTGAAGTTTCTCTTTGAAACATACAGTATTTTCAACAAACTAAATTGAAGAAATACCAGAAACGTTTTCCAATATTTTCAACATGGCTAGTAAATGCGGGCGGAAAGAAAACCTTTCGTATCTCATGCGATAGATGTCGCTGGTCCATTAGAAAGTTCTTTTTCCTTATCGTAAGCCGGTATTACGTGATCCAAAAGCTTTTGCACAGTGTGTGTTTTCATTAATTTATTAGGTATTCGGTGATTGAAGGTCAGATTCACTGAGGGAGTTTCTTTGCGACGTACAGTATTTCTAAGTGATCCTAGTGTTAATAATATAATAGGAACTGTATGTATCGCCCCCCTTGGAACACCAACTGGAATTCCAATATAAAAAAAATTATTACACGATCCGAACCTTCAAAGTCATCAATGAAAAATAACGTTTGAAAACTTTGTCCGCCCAGCCCAACAGAGTGAGCGACAAGCTGAAGACCATCAAGGCGTCTTGTTTCGGACCGTTTCGACAGTGGCCGAATTGGCACGAGCTCATTTGCCACGCCGAAAGCAGAGACCCATCCTCGACACTGCTGTCGACAGTCGACACTAAATTCAGCATGGACACTGCAAAAACGACCGCCGGCGAAGACGTCGATGAAACCCGAGCAAAGTCGTACATTCCTGAATGACGAGGTTGCGCGAAAAAGTACGGTGTCGACCAGCAGACCTGCGAAAGTCCGCAAATTTCGGGTATCAGGAGTAAAACGATTAAAATTAATTAAAACACCTTTCAGTTTTTGCTGATTTTTTTCATTCCCCCAGCAATATAAGCAGGAACGCGCTGTTTTTTTTCTTTTTTACAAATTCAGCCATTGCGTCGAATTCATTTTTTCACACTTGCGTGACGGCAAATTCGAAAAATGTTTGCCATTTAAATGACTTTTTTTTTACAAAAGAACGCTTGTCATTCACTAATCACTCCCAGCAAACTTTCTTTGGACACAACAATAACAAGGGATTTTTTTTTTCAAAACGAAAAGCATCAGTCACTCCAAAATTTCAAATCACAATTTTCCCTTGACTTTTTTTTTTTACAAGAGATACATTTGAACGAGTTTGATCGTCAATCTCGAAACTCCCAACAGGAACACTGGAAGAATGTTCAACCGATACAAAATTCAACCATTCGAAAAAATCACACTCATGATTCACTTCTTTTTTCCTTGTTCAGAGGAGAAAAAAAAAACAGTGATGAAAAAATGATAAATTTTCGTTATGAAGAAATAGGCGTCGGTGTGAAAACACCTGAGCTCATGTCGACCACGAATATTCGTGGGGGTTGCTGAGAATTTTGTTGCTGATGCTCGGAAGAACTCGTGCTGCAACCGACCAATTTTTCTCCGAGTTTCTTCAGGCGCTGCACGCAGACTTCTTGCTGATTCTTTTGAGAATTGGCAGTTTGTCTCGGAACAGGGCCGACGAGACTCAGCACCACTGGCAGAAGGATCAAGCCGTGGAACAAACCAAAGCCCACGATGCCGACGAACACCTGGAAGAAAAAAAAAAGGATTTTGAAATACTGTATAACTCAGAAACGTTTCATTCATGGAAAGAGGACGATGGTATTTTTGAAGTTAATTTATTTTTCCTACGCAACCACTACACGAATGATTCAAAAATAATTATAGTAGATTAAAAAATTAATCTAAAAAACCACATTTTTCAAGTAAGACTATTCTGCTATAATTATTTTATTCTTTAAAAAAAAATATTCTTATAATTATTCTTTTCACAAAATATTGCATTGTCATCAGTTTCTAAGCTATCCTGAAAGTTTCAGCTTGCTAGCTAGTCGGGAAGTGAGCAAAATTTGAGTTGCAAAATTTGATCCAGACAAACAAACAGACAAGAAAGTGAGTTCATAAAAACGTGGTAAAAATATTTGATTTGACGTTCAGAATTCTTCCAGAGAAATTTTTAAAAATATTCTATTATGCCTGAAATCACAGCTGAACTCAATGAACTTGTCGAAATAATTTCAAAAATTAGATCTCTCGCTTCATCACTGTACTGTATTGTAGAGTATTTTCATGCGTTTCATCGCGATATTGCAGATATTCTCAAGCAATTCCCGCACCCACAAAATTTGAAGGCAAAATGTAATTCGAAATTACCTTGAAGAATGTTTTGAAGACGTGAGAATCGGAGTCTGCGAGTACAACAATTGCAAGAAAAGTGGACAATCCGCCGTGGAAAACTGCTGCTCCGATGGAGGATAGTGCGTAGCGAGTCCTGTCGTTTCTGGATGGCCTATTGGAAGCCGGCGACATCTGGAGGAACGCATGAGCAACATGAGCCGCGTAATCCACACTGAGTCCGATCCCTATCACGACAGCCACGCAGGACACGGTGTCAATGGTCAGGCCCCAGACATGCATCAAAAATGCCAAATCCACCTGCAACGAAGGAATTAATTCCAGGCATCAGATGGTGGGTAAAAGAATGCGAATCCGATTGCTTTTGCATTAATAATAGTCTCTTATTTTCATACTCCATGCACATACAATACATTGGGTGAGGATTTCTATTTGTAAATATATTAATTCAGAAGGGAATAAAAAAAATCCGAAAAGCTGATTTTTCAGAAAAGCATGATTTAATTATATTTTAATGAGCCAGCGTTTTAATTTATTAATTAATCTCTTGACTAAACACAGCCTGTACAATAATACAGTTGGACCTTGATAAATCAAGCCTCCATAAGTTGAATGCCTTCCTATGTCAATTTTTCTTTCTTTTACTAGTCTGAATATCCCCAGAAAAAATTTACTGGAAGCATACGAAACTCAAAGGCTCTCTTCCTCAAACTTCAATGACCTGCATTTTCTGGAGGCATTTTGTCTATAATATTTATTGGCCCAGAAAAGCGAAATTAAATTAAAATCAAACTTGATCTACTGTATTTCGAAAGGAAGTGAAAGAATCTTTTGGTAAATGAACCCTTTCCTTCAAAAGGTTTAGCATCCTGTCAACTAATTTCAATTTGAACCCCAGAATTATATCTTCAATCAAAATTTTCTGAATTTCTTTTTTCTTTTTTTAAACAAAAATGTTTCTGTAATTGGAAACCTCCTTAACTCAATTTTTTTGGTCCCGTATAGTTTGGCCTAAAGAGGCTTGACTATTCACTTGAGTATATTATGCAACTTTTCTCAAATAAAGAGGAAAAATGGAGGGTGCTGTGTGTCACAGCAGTGATTCTTTCCACAATATTTGAGAATTTTAGGTGAGCATGATTATTGGACCATTTGGACAACTGTAGAGAAAATATTCTTTGATCAAAGACATTGAAAAGTGATATAAATCAGGTTAAATTCATGTCTTGATTTAAATTACTCTATAATTAACTTTTTTTTAAATAAATATTGCTGTTTTCAGTTTCTAAAAAATGGGGGCATGTATTACTCATGGAAACGATTTCATGAAAATTGTGGGCCGAAAAATCTGGGTGAGTGTCCTATTGGAGGGTACATGGTACTCAGCTATAGATACAGTACTGATCTGTACTCCTATGTTCCTGCAGTGCGTGCGAAAATACATGACTCATGCGACACCTATGGGAGCAATAAAAACATCTGAAGAAAGATTCTTCCATCTTACCACAGTGAGACACACGCAAGCAGTAACGATCAGCGACGCTCTCAGGGACGCGATGAGCAACAGGGTCATGACGAACACACAGCCCAGCGCCAATGCCACATTACGTCGCAGCTCTTGACCGATGACCTGGTTTGTTTCCCAGGATCCATACAAAACAGAAACTGCTCGTCCAATCGGTTCATTGTTGGACTCTGTGCCCAACTTCCGCAATTTGGAGCGAATGGCATCCAATGCCAAAATCTGGTCTTCCGGCTCGTCAACGACAGCGTGCACGTAGTCAATCGTCGACAACTTTCGAAAAAAAAACGTGATAAATTATTGAAAAAACAGGGAAACTGATTGAACAGAGTCTTAAAGTAATATTTAAGTCTTGAATCATGACATGGAAAAAACTGCAACCTCAAATCACACCAAGATTTGCCGAAAAATCATCTTTATTGAAGGAATGTACGTTTTTTATTTTTATTAATTTTTAATTGGCATAAAAGAAAAATCACGCTATTCCAATGCAAAATATTCCAAGTTCAACGCGTAAAGAATTTATTGCCAAGCATCCACAGTCTCGTAACAAAAGTCTATAATTTTTTTGCAAATTTCTATGAGTAATTTCGAATTAGCAGGAGAAATTTAAAAATTCTGATCGGGAAAAATTCAGAAAAAATCTAATAAATTTGTAAATGGACTAACCTCAATCACAGCATCTTCGGCTGAACCATAACAGGAGAAATTCCCTGAGATCACGAAATTCTTTTGATACTTAAAGCCTTCCGGGGAGTACAAAAATAAGTTCAATTTCGGCATGAAGTCCGTCTCGTTGCTCTGTTCGTCGAAAAACGCTGAAAACGAAAGAAATAAATGTTAAAAATTTATTTTGATTAATTTTCAAAATTTAAAATTCAACTCACAGGAATTGAAGTTTGTCAAAGTCCAGTTTTCGAAAGAATCAATCCAAGAATCGACAGACACGATTTTTGCCTCTGGTGTGCTTTCCATGTCTTGAATTAAATCGCGAAGTTTCGGCAAGGCTTCAATCCGATGACCCTTTGTGCTAATTAAGGTTTTGCCAAAATTGGTTGACGCAGGGAAAAATTCGCGTTCAACTATTGAATATTGGTGCACGTAGGACGTTTGTGGAAGAAACCAGATTGGATCAAAATCTTGTTTCAGTTCAGTCAATCCCCAACAGCCGAATCCTGTCATGCAACCAGCAAGAAGTAACACAAGAACCTGCAAATAGAGAACATTTATTGCACTCATTAAAAGAAAAACCAGATACTGTATTTCCAAATGTTAATCTTATATGCTCAAAGGTCTGATTTCAATTTAAATCTCTTCCATGAATACGTTCGCAACAACCTCAGACTTCAGCTCCAATATTCCGAGATTCAAAAGTCTCTTAAAAGAATTCCAACAGTCTTTTAAATGTAATCCAAGATTACAGTCAACCCCAGACACAACAAACCTCTCAAGCAACAGATTTTTGCACAACAGACCGCCTCTGAGGGCAGTTTTCTCTCTTGCACAATGGAAAAAATCCACATTACAGACTTCTGTTGGTTTAAACTTGATATTAAAGAGTAAAATTTTTATTTTTCAATAATTGAATCTGCATAGCAGACATTTCACACTACAGACTACAGTCTGTTGGACAAATTAAGTCCATTGTGCGGGGGTTGACGGTATTTGAATAAGGTTCAAGATTTTTAATAACAGCATGTACATTTATTTATCTGAATTCTCATGAAAATTTATCAAAGAGAACTTATTTATAGAGAATTTAATAGAGAATTAATTCTATAGATAATTTATTAAAGTATCTTTCGGAATGAATTAAATTGCTGAGATTATTTTTTTAGAAGAACCATCTTTTTTCTTAATGAGTTACCCAAAAATATTTTTCAGGCTTATTCTTGTGGACGAGTGTCAGTAAAATAACCACTAAATTTGTAGAAAAATAAAAATTTACCTTGCACCATGTATGGGTCAAAGCTGGGCCCAAGTAATCCTTCATCACCAGTTTAGTGACATTCACTTGTGTCCAATGAAGACTATCGGTGATTTCAAAAGTTTGCTTGTGCTTGATGAAAGGCAAAAATCCGTTTCTGCCGGCAGCCATTCTTTTGGCATCGAGTGCAAAAGCTGCAGCGAAAAATGTCACTTGGAAGAGGTAAAGAAATGCGACTCCGACAGCAGCGTAAATGCAGAAACCGGATAAAGCAGGCAAAGACTGAAAAAAAAATTCATAAAAAAAATCAGCTTTTATCTAAAACAACCAATACTGTAACACATATTTCGTACGTATTCAGGAGTTTTTTTTTCAGAGAAATTCTGCGAGTCAGATAAAATTTTGGCGTGCAAATTCTCGAATTATCCACGAAGAAATGAAGGGTCCGATTTTCAATAATTCTAGACTGAATAAAATTGCGAATTTTATTTTTTACCAAGTATAATTTCCTGAGGAAGTACATTTTGCTAAAAGTTGTCGAGTTCCCCGACGATAAATCAACTGTTTTAATAAGATAAAGTTTAAGAAACTATTTCAGAATGGAAATCGATTCGATATTATTTATCTATTATTAATAGCACGTACGTGAATATCATGAATTTTCTTCAAAAAGGTTGAACTTCTGAATGTAATTTAGTGAGTGTGAAACTACCGTTTGACAACACGACACTGCTGTTGTCGAGCAAAACCTTGGCATAAATACCGAGTCAATGTTTGCGCTAACAATATATTTTTTTCGGGAGTAATTGCACTTATGAAAAATCTTGAAATTTTCTGTGACACTTTAGTTTTTTCTATATATAGGGTATAAGGATGGAAATTTCAGTTTTGAAGGATATTTTTTTTCACATTGGAATTTGCAGGCTAAACTCACAGTAGAAGCTCCGATTGCGAAAGCTGCAAAGTCGGTCAATGAAGTCACAGTAATTGCGAGTCCAGCTTTTCGCATTGTTAGGCCCATGAGCTCGTTTACACGCAAGGTGTCTTTCTTTTCTTTCGGAATGTTCTCAAAGGACTCAACTACGACGAACATATCGTCTATGCCAATTCCGAGGAGTAAAAATGGCAGCATGTTGTGCATGGGTCCGTACAAAACACCCAGTGCTTGGCACAATCCCATAGATGTCACTATGCTCAAGAACACGCTGAAAATCCCTACAATCGACAGCAACCCCTGTTGGAAAAAAAAATTGTTTATATTGAGAACATTTTGAATTAAAAGCGGATTTCATATTTAAAATCTTTATAAACATCGACATTTTAAAAATCTCTAAAAAAATCGAAATTTTATAAATCTCCAAAAACATCGACATTATAAAAATCTCTAAAAACTTCGAAATTTTAAAAATATGTAAAACATCAACATTTTAAAAATTTAAAAGTTGAAAAAAAACGAATTCTGTGACGGTAACATTTTGACAAAACACCTTCATGTTGAAATGTACGCGTGACTCATTTTCATTCTCTCTAAATTTATTGCCTTAATATTTTTAATACGGTAATACGGTACGTACTGTGTGTCTTTTTTATTTCAAAATTCATGCATTTATAATCCTCTGTTTTCCTAAATCATCCAGACATTGTTGAGAATTTCGAAGAGAGTTTAATCAGCATTCGGAGAACAAAAAAACGTAGAAATCTTTCTCATGATGAACCATTTAAAGGAAATCCTTTTTTAAATATCCGGAAAAAAATCTCTACTTTTTGAGTCGTGTATTTATTAAAATATATAGTATATCGCTGTTTTGGAAATTTAAAATTTAAAAAAGATGCTTACCCTGTTTTCAGTCCAATTCTTCTTTCCAAGCACACTCGCTGTGTAGATAAACACAATGCCATATCCCAGTGCCAATTTCATCGCATCACCCATAATCGCATTCGTTGACACGTCCACGAAGCTGCGACTGGAACTGAACAACACTGTAAAATCTTCATCTTCAGTTTCTCGAGATAATTTCTGCATGGCTTCGATGAAAACTGATTCAAATTCTTCCGTGTCGTCGTCTGCGATTGAGCCCAGAGCTGTTGGATATAATCTGTTGCGCTCTTTGATCAGAGACGAATTCACTTTCAAGATCCATTCCATGCGGAGTGCTTCTGCGAACATCGTGTATCCACTTGCGTTGGTCACACTTTTGCCCAGATAGGCTGAGAAGTCGGTACGATGGCCAAACACTGGGCTGAAATTAAATTAGGAAACGGTTTTTTTCATGTGAATTTTGGCCATTAATGTTTCAAAAAGTATGTACTTTAAAATGAGATTATGCTACAATTTTCCCTGATGTCAAGTTTGAACTTCCATATAAACTTGGCAAAAAAATTAGAAAAATGGCCCAAAATTCTAAATGGTGAGATTCTGGGGCTTAAATGACTTCTTAAATTAGTTCCAAGGATGCTGAACTTGGAGGCAGGGGTTCATTTGCCCAATTAACCCTTGGGCAGCAAAGTCGGACTATTTTTGCAAAATTTTGTTACACCTCAGAGAGGAAAAGAAAAAAATAACAACAGGGAGTTGAGGACAAAGTGAGAAAAAATCCCAATGTTTTTTTTTTCTTTTTGCCCAGAAAAATTTTGCAGAAAAATAAAAAATGGTATGTTATGCAACAGGCTTTTTGTGGATTAATCCCAACTTCGCCTCAGCCCATCTGGAAGGGCTTTTCTGACCTTTAGAAAACTTAAAACGCCCCAGCAGACAAAAATAATCCAAATTTGGCCCCAGCAATGGAAAATAACCCTCCGCTGTCAAGGGGTCAAGTCTTTGACTTCCTTTTGAAACACATCAATTTATGTTTTTATTATTTTTTTCTCTCTAGTGCAAAGAAAAATAATAGCCAACAGGCCACAGAAAATTTGACTAACAGAGGTTAGAGGTGGAAAGCCTTCAACTTAGGGAGGTTTTTAACGTATTGTTTCTAAAGGGATTCAGTTGAGGATCTGAAAAAAAATTTGATTTAAGGAGGTATTTGACTTAGGGAGGTATGAGTTATTGAGGTTCACCTGTATTATAATTCCTTTTGTTTTCAAACAAGAAAAAGCTAGTTTTCTTAATTCAAAACCTTTCAAGTCAAATTTGTGTGGGTTCTCCCAGCTGAGTTTGACTAACATAGACTTGATTGTATAAATGCCAATAAAAAGGGGGGGGCAAGAGGTTTTTCCTAGCAATGATGATATAAAAAATTCAATGAATTCCATCTCTCCCCAGCATTGAACACAAAGTTGTCTATTTCCCCTCAAAATCAGATCCAAATTAATTAAGTTATCCAAAATCAGACCAAATTTTGCCCAAATGTGTCCTAAAGTAATAAAAACTTTTAGATGTGCATCCAAATTCAGTCCACATTCTTCCAAGAATCAAAATTTTTTGGATAGAGAAAAAACTGATTTTTCTAATTCAAAACCTGCCTAATTCAAATTTGTGTGAGTTCTCCCAACTGAGTTTCACTAACAGCACAGGTTTGATTGCATAACTGCCAATAAAGGGGGACGAGAGGTGTTTCCTTGCAATGACAATATAAAATACTGTAATTCAATGAATTCCATCTCATCAGCGCAGGTTACATAAGCCTTCTGATATTCTGCCAGAAAGAAACATTCATGACATAATCGAATTAGCAATAATGATGATGAAGCAGAAATGGAACTGAAACGTCAGGATTACGCGATGAACTTTGTTCAAGTCATGGAATGTCCAGTTGATCTGGGAAGTGATTTGCATTAATGAAATGCCGTCGTTGTGTCATCGTTGTTTTGTCGTACGCAGCAGCAAATGTAAATACTGAATCCAATTTTTAGTGCTTTTTCTTTATCATAGTCTTTTAGTTTCATTGAAAATATAATGATAAGGGCAGCGTCTTATTGTTCCCGTTTTTTATGCCTGGATTATTCTAGAAACTCGAGGACTAATCATTTATTGCAAGTAATAGATTCAACGTTTTTCGTCCTCATTCACTATTGTATTCCTCGGCTTTATTGATGTGATAGAAATCGAAAATCCAGAACAAAGCCAGGCTTAATTAACTATAAGACTCGGTTTAATAACTATAGTAACGACGCTAAAAGTATTATAAGAACCGGTTGGACCGTATAAGAAAGTTGATGCGATTTTCATCTATATTTTACTGATGCGGAATCCCTTTGAAGACCGTCATTATTTAACCTTTTTTTTTCAAAGCTATACTTGAAGGAACAGGATGCTTAATTTATCTTCTGAGTTCATCAGACAAACAAATATTCATTGAATGAGTTGATCAGACTTTTTAAACGTGCTCGAAAACAAAACACCGTTTATATACACGCATAGTAGAACTGTTTTTTTTAATTTATTTTGACACGCGAAAAACATGGGATAATTTCAAGATTAAATGACGCCTCAGATTCGCAAATATGCAAAGTTTCGGAATACTTTATATTTTTAAAGCATTATTTAAATGAACTGCAATCACAATAATTAATTTTCGGCGGTCGTTTCTCCCACGAGCAACATGAAAATTTACACTTCATTTGTATTTCAGCACATACATTATACTGTAAACTCAGTTTAAATCTTTGCGTAAAATTTGAAATGCTTCAGTGATGATTTTGCAAATAACGTTGGCATCCGTTTTTTATTGAAATTAATTTTGTTGGTCTGACCCTGAAGATATTTGAATGTTGAATACTTCTCTATATAACCCGTTCAATAGGGTTTCTGACACATTTTATCTGAGTGCTTTTTATTTGAGTTAGTCGCCAGAAAAATTTACTTTGAGTTTGAAAGAATTTATAGCGTCTCATATTCAATAGTGCTTAATTTTCAATAATTGCATACAGTTTTTTTTGTGAATAAGTCATTTTCGTATAATTTCTCCGTCCATAAAAAAAAATTCCATCACCCAGTTTTTTCTAGCGCAAAGCTGAGATGGGGGTTTGAACGAAGACCATTCTTGAAATTAATGTATTATAGTAAATGATGATAATTCATCAAATCTAGTTTAATTGCGATGCTATCTATATGAAATTATTAACGAATCGAGTCATTCACCTGGCTTCCATGCCACGGTTTCGTCCGAGCATCGCGATGATGTCATCTGTCGTGACGAGGCGATTTCCGTGACGAGGCGACGACAAGAATTCGGAAGCATTTTGCCCGAATAATTCCAAGGGTCCTCTGGCCCAACACAGTTCCGGAAGTTGGACCAACACTGGGCAATACAATTCCCTGGGCAAGTCCCACAAATGCTCTTCTTCGCCGTCGTCGTAAGCCGCAAAAAAGTCATCTTCGTCGTCCAATGTTGTATTTCTGCAGCAAAAATATTTAAAAAAAGTTGGTGAACTTACTTTTCCAGACACAATGATGGAAATTTTTAGGACGAAAAAGAAATATTTACGGAGATCCAGATTTTAAAAAAAATTCCGTCCATCTTCAGCAATTTTTACTGTATTTTTTATGCAATTTTGTGCGTGAAGTTCGTCAAGAAAATTTTTCATGAATTGATGTGCTCTCGATCACGAAAACATTATTAGAAAAATGGAAAAGCCAAAATCGTGTAATAATGGCATCAAAAAATACGAGTACCTGAAGATTCTTAAATGATTAATTTTGAAAATACAATTCAAAAAAACTGGAGAAGTTTTAGAGAACTTTCACAAGTCAAAGGAAATGAAAATCCGAACGATTCACGCAATAAATTGAAACTGGAGAATTTTACTAAAGATTATCTCCGATAGTCATGACATCAGACAGGTTTATTGCGAATCAATTTTGGTTGCATAAATTCTTTTCGAATTTAAATGTCATAAAGTCGGAAAGAGGTCGTCAGTAAAATGAATTCTCGACAAAGCTTATCCGTGATGATAATTTATTGGAGTTTTTCGTGACGTTTCCAATAAATGGAATTTTTTTTTTGTACCGTACTCGATTTAGATGTAATCTTTGTCCTTTTATAAATCCGTAATACACTAAAAATCTGCAATCCTCGACTGAAATTTGCGTATAAGATATAATTTTATTTTGATGATCGAAAAATCGACCTGTTTCAAGAAAAAGTGGCGAAGAAATTTGCTCAACTCACTTGCTGGTATTATTATCAAAATCAAAATAGTTGTCGTAGGAATTGTAAGAATCTGATTGTTGTCCGCCTGGCGACTGAAGTATTTGCCTCTTTTTCCGATTTCTTGCGGAATCTTCATCGTGAACCACAGGAATTCTGAAATCAATTCAAAATTAAAAGCTTTAAAAAATAAAGTTCGAAACGAATCGACGACGAAAAGCCTCACTTCATGCAAACATCCGTCCAAGTCTTCCCTCGCACTGTCAATTTAGACACCGTTTCATGCACTCGCAAAAGCTGGAAAAAAAGTGTTTGAAAGATTTTTAATGCGAAAAATATTTTGCACGGATAAACGGGGGAAATATACAAACCATGGAGAAAAATTCCGGTTGAAGCGCATTAACGCCGGATTTCTTCGGCTTGATGATGACTTGCTGGATTCTTAATTCGAGTGGGTAATGATCCTGAACCCATTCCAAGTCTCGCAGAAATTCGACGTTTTTCGGCAACCAAAGTTTTTCTATTCGTGTTTCCGTTGTCCAAAACAATGCAAAGCAAGTCGATCCAACAAAAGCGAGGACCAGAGATGCTGAGATCGTGATGAAAGGTCGTTTAGCTACTGCTTTCCCGAGTCTGTGTATATAGACAACAGAAGCAAAAATATTTTCGTAATTTTATTGCAAATATTTTCAAAAATTTTTTTCTAGAAAAAAAAGGCTAAAATTTGCCGAAATATTTCTCAAATTTCCATGCTTTTATTCGCTGGAACAAAGGATCGCACTAAAAACAATGTATTACTTTAGAAATTAAAATAATTAATCTTACCAAACACCCAAGTTAGGTAACTAATATACATATCTACATATATACAATATACAATATATACAATATACATATATACATACATACAGTAAGTCTATAGTACTGTAAATTGACACCAGTCTCCTAATGCTTTTTCACTTCAAAAATAGACCATTCGTACTGCAACACTATTGAGATGGAATCATTTTTGGACCAACAGCGAAACAAATAAATTTCATGCATTATGATCATCATTTTGTGTTATGTTTTTTAGAGATAAGAATTTAAGTTTCACAATACAGGGGGCTTTATTAAAAAGTAAATCAATATGGGGAATCAAAATTAAATCGAGAGTGGTTCCAATTGAGGAAATGTGCAGATTGACGTGGGAGAAGTTTTCGGGCAGGATTTATTTTTTGGGCTTAAATTTGAAAACATGTCTCAAAATATTTTCGAGATGTAAACCTCCTTTTTTTTATTAACGGGGGTAACGAATGATTTTCTGTGACAGTTTTAGACATGCAGTATGAGAATTACAAGTATACGAAGGAATCTTAAACTTTTAAAATTCATAATTAGGCACTTTTTCGAATTGCAAAAAAAAAAATCAAATTTAATAAATTTGATGAATCGCTCACATTTCCGCGCAATATTCCAACGATTCCGTCATACAGTCACTCGCCGTTTGTAGCATCTTGTCTTTCAATTTTTCGCCTTACTTAATCTCTCACTTATATACTTGGCGAATAATTTGCACAATTTTCCCTCAGTTTCGCAACCCTTTTTTTTAATTGACAAAAGACTTTGGGTTCAATTTCCCATCATCAGCGTCTTGTGTGTTACGTAAAAGCCCGGGATCGACTGACTGCAGCCCGGAAACGAACCTGAGTTAAAAGTTGGCTGCGCAACGATTGCGGGTTCATTTGACTTGTAAATTTTAAAAAGCGTCCGTTGTATCCTGTCTTCAGTCTCTTTTACGAAGGCTCAGAAGAAAAAAATCCTACTTTCTCGACTCGTCGGCTTTAGGGCATAATTTCCGTGTTTGTGAATATACAGAACATGTCGACAGTTTCTGAAGCATCCTGTGCATGTTTGAGTTCCTGTCTTCGTATTTTGTATTCCCTCTCATCGACCACGACGGAATTTTTTTTTTTGTTTTCATTTGGACCCATTTGATTTTTCTGCATTTCAAAAAGGAAAACACACGTGGGAAAAATTATCGAGGCAAGAATTTCTCGAGAGGAGTGCAGATTTTTCCACGCGGTGGAATTTTCAATATTTTTAATTTCGTTCCGGAAAAAATCTAAAGTTGTCATCATTGTCTGATAGACTATGTGGAATTTCTAAAAAATAAATAGACCAAGGATACAACTTTCACTTGTTCTACGTCACGGTTTTTCTGATTCAGAATAGTTAAATAAAAATAAATTACGTCGAAAGTTTTTAAATGCAGTGGAATTTTGATTAACTATTTTTAGTTCTTATCCGGCCTCAGTACAGTACTTAGTTTTGTCTCGGTGACTTCGTATTCATGGATACTGTACATTCATCATGTAAATCTTCAACAAGAGAGAAACTTCAGAATTTTGTCATAACTACACACGAGTGTATCGTGTAAAATAATTATTATTAAAATGCATTATTATTATTTTTATACATTTTAAAATACTTGAATGATATTTCCTTGATATGAGCAGCAGACTTGACATGAAAATCGAGGAATATCAAAGTTAAAAACGTTGACAACTTAGAAAGAGTGCTTCAACTCAATAAGACGGTTGCATCATGTCCAAGGCCTAAACTCAAATACATTCAGGTGCGTTTGTTTAAAACATTCCTCGAACTCCTTTCTTCGAATCTTTTTAATATTCGCATTCGAATTAAAGAATAAAAGCTTGACGTACCACCGAAAAAATGTAAAAAAAAAAAAGGCCTCAACGCAATTCAATGCCTAACGTAACGCAAGAATTCCATATAGAGCAAGCTTTAAATTGAGGTTACATCACTTATAAATTATCATTTTCATCAAGTATAGTATCTCAGATTTGTATTCGGACGTGGTTCGCTCTAATAAAAGTACGTAATTATACGAGTATATACTGGGAACTCGTCTTCCCGATACACTCACGTCAGAAAGGTATTAAAATTGCGTAATCATCTTGGTGAGCTAGTAGTAAACAAGTAAATAACCTGTCTGACGCATGCCTGTAAATGCAAATTAAGTAGAAATGCAAATTGAATTCGCTATGGCTCGTTCGAAAATTTCTTCACAGGCATAAATCAAGTAAATGAGCGCAAATCTTCGTCTGCTTTTGGATCTTTTTTATTCAATTTAATTGTCATATCTTTAAATCATCTAGTTTACGGTATCTATATAATTTTAGATCACGAAAAAGCCAGATATTTAAGGTGAAACGTTGTTGCTAAAAAAAAAGTTGAGGTGATTTCAGGTTCAAGAGTTATTACAGAATTTTATCAATTTAAAATTATGGAAAATTTTGCATAAAATGTTATATTTTAGATATTTATAGGATTGTTTAGTTGAATAAGTGAGAGTTGAATGAGTTTGATCATGGTCTTCGTTGCTTTATTGCTTCAAACGCAATTTTTCTGTCTTATGAAACAATCAAACGTGTCAGATAATGTTGCTCTCTGCTATTTTGAAGCATAAATTTTGGAGATATATTTTTACGTCACTGAACTATTTGTTTGTCTGTTTGTTTCGGAAGCATTTGTATAAGGAATGAAAGGTGGGCATTTTCATAACCAGAATCGATAAGATTGAAAATAATGACATGCCTTATTACAAAATATTTTAATGACAATATAATTCGCGGTCTTCCAACTTGCGTTCCTTTTTATGTGTTTTGTGTTCTTTTGTTGAGATGCTTGAAAGTGTTGATCCTTTGTATCCATTTACTTATGATGGCGGAATTATTTGGGATTTGGAACATTCAATGTCATTTCTCTCTGCTGTGAATCTCGGTTTTGGATCGAGATTTATGAAAATTGCGTGAAACGTTGAGCAGGCGAAAAATGGAGAAAATCCGCTCATCTGGGATGTCGTTTAATATTTTGCGGAAGTCCAAAACATTTTTTTTTTTAATGATGATGGACCAGAAAAGAAAAAAACCCATGGTTATATATGTCCAAGTTTCAGTCCTCGAAATAAATCATCAGGGATAATATGGAAACTTTGATCCTTATAAAGAGCAGCTATACTGCACACATAACAGGTAGAAGTTGCGTCATATAATGAAGAGATGGACGTTTTCATGATCAACGGCGAAACCAATTGCGACTCAACTTCTCAAGCCAAGCCCCTTTTTTGTATTGTTCCCAGCAAGGAAACGAAAACTTTTTATGACACTACATACGTCGGCTTTTGATCGAGGTCCTTTGTTCTAAAGTGAAAAAGAATAATTTTAATCGCAGTAATATATATATATAGGCATGGAAGAATGCGGTTGTATAGCGTGTCTCCGCGTTTTGTTTTAAATTCCCGTCACGAAAATTTCTTCAACTTTTGTGATAATTTACGACTTTGTCTGGGATCGCGAAAAAGGAGCAAGCACGGAAGAGCAAAGATGAATTATTGCAGCTGTCTCAACGATCAAAAGACATCCCGGCGCCACGAAAAAAAAATGTCTGGAGAGAAAATATCGCGAATAAACGAATTACAGTCGGAAATGACGAACAAATTTAGCAAAGAAATTGCAATTGAGAGGAAACGGCATGATACAACTGAAGATCCCTCGGGTGAAACGATGAGTCAAGAAAAGATCATTGTAAAATATATGAAACTGAAATAATGCCACTAGATAAAAATATTTGTTCATTAGAACTGATGGCTGTTCCAACAAAGAAATAAATTGGCAACCTTATCAGAATTGGAACACGTTTTGAAAGCACTCCTATCAAACCAGGGTCAGTTCATTTGTGATGCTAATTTTGATATCTGGCTCATTCAATTAATTCATTGGCCTCTTTCGATAAGATTCCAGTAGGTTGCACTTTTTTAGGCTTTCCAATTTTCATGTTTTTTAAAGTGCTCATCATCACTTATTGTCCTCCCAGGAATAACACAGCAGCTGCTTCTTTCACCCATAATATTGGGCAAAAACACAAAAATGAAAAGGAAGCCATGAAGACTATATATGCCTCAACCTTTAAAGGAAGCTTGGCTGTATAGCTTTGCCCAATTTAATTTTGGCTAGTCTCACAGAGAGAAAAGTTGTTGTCAAATAAATAGAGGCTTCAATTCATTTACTGATTGACATCCTGTTATTATGTTCCAATGAATCCATCATATATGCTGTGATCACAATAAAAGAGCACTGCATGCTGGTGCATGATGGTGTGGAGGAAAATAAATTCTCACAAAGCTCAACTTTTTTATTTTCTTGAACAAGATTTTTATTTTGTCATAGATTTCAAAATATGGCCGTAGATTGCATATGTTGATGAGCTGGATTATAATGCTCTGCGTTGGAATCCGAAAGATTGGCAATGAGTTTGAAGGTCATCCCACTCATGTTTGCGCAATTTCTGTCTACCCAAGGCAAGGAAACTTCCGCATTCAAATGGGATATTGGAGTCATATCCTCGGGGTTGCGTATCCTATTTCTGAACACTTTTCACCATACAAGCAGCTTGAAAACTGGAGATCGTCCATATACCAAATACTGTACGTACAAGTACTGTACATCAGAACATTTTGTGGAAAAATATTGAATGCATGCTGCTGTAAGAGCATTTGCAAAACAAGTTCGACTTATAAGACAAGCCTGGAAATTAAATTCAGTTAAATTATCAATTGTTCATACACTTTAAAGCATTTTTTAAAGTGAGTTCATATTTTCAGTGACTCATCCATATTTGTGACATTTTGACTTTGTTAGAATGTACAGCAGTACTTCCATCACAAATCTACTGAATGAATGACATTGAAGCCATAGAGAAAGGCTCCAAATGGATAAGATGCCTTTTTCAATGGCATTCACACATAGCCGTCTGAAATTATAATTCAATCAATTTTTTTACTGTGAAATAAATTGAATTGAAACACTCTGTACTGTATCTCAATATACAGTACAGTACTGTACTGTACCGGATGAACATGACCACGTGGTTACGAGTACGGACTCTTCTAATTAAACATGTCTGCCCCACGGCGTTCCAACGGTTGTTGGTGAAGTTGTGCAACGGAACGACAGATGGATTTCCCCGCGAAATTATTGTATTGTGGAAATCGTGTTCAAGGAGAGTGATCACGGTCGAAAGATTCTTGTTTCCTACCAACTTCGGTTGTGGTGTTAGTGCGCAGTCATTGTGTCAGGGAGGAAAGAGATTTGATGTTTTTTACCCGGGTGGTTGTGGTGGTGGCTGTAGCGGTCTGGCTGGTAGCGGCTGGGGTGTCGGATTGATGTTCGGGGCGGGAGTCTCGTTGTCCGGAACATTGCGATTTTGTTCGGATTGTGTCTCCATTTGTAAAGCCCAGGCAGCGGCAGCGCGTGAATTTTCAGTGTTGCGGACCATCAACTGAAGTATGTCTCCGTGAAGAAATCACTGGATGGCTCGAGCCCCCAATAAGTGTTGTAATAAATAGAAGACCTTTCTCCACGAACACACTTGTAATATTTCTTGAAGTCAGCAACACAAATAACACTCAGGTCAAAGTTAAGAGATGATGTCGAGTCAAGAGCTAAAGTCAGAATGCCAGTCCTCTCCAGCCGTCCGAGCCTCCTCCGGTGGTTCCTCCGATGGTGCAAGAGATAAGAAAGAACTGGGTGGGTTCTTGGGACGTTTGGACTTTCTCCAGTAAGATCGTCTAGGTGTCGCTCTAGTTGGTAAGGGAAGGGCCTTACTGTACGGACTCTTCTAATTAAACATGTCTGCCCCACGGCGTTCCAACGGTTGTTGGTGAAGTTGTGCAACGGAACGACAGATGGATTTCCCCGCGAAATTATTGTATTGTGGGAATCGTGTTCAAGGAGAGTGATCACGGTCGAAAGATTCTTGTTTCCTACCAACTTCGGTTGTGGTGTTAGTGCGCAGTCATTGTGTCAGGGAGGAAAGAGATTTGATGTTTTTTACCCGGGTGGTTGGGCGGTCCTGATCGACGGCGATTAAGACGCATTTCAGGCTTTATATTCGCGTGAGCGCAGAATCCGGATTTCCGATGAGCTGTTGAAGTACATTGGCACTCGCTCTTACTTTCGCTAGAAATGAGGCCCCTGTTGCTTTGTACATTGTGTCTTCCACGTGTTGATGAGGATTGTGCTTGCTTCCCATGGACTTCTTTTGAACACTTCGTCGAACTAATTTTGTCGTGTCTCGTTCCCTCAGGTTCAAACTACTGTAGTGTGATTATTCTTGTGACCTGGACGTAGTGTTCATGTGGACTTGTGATCCTAGAAGAGCGATTAGCTTTTTTACGACTCGGTGATGGGTAAACGTAAGGACCAAGCAAAGGCTGTGGCCAGCGAAGAAGCGAATCTGGAAGGTAATGGTGGAGGAGACGTCCCTCTCAAAAAGGGCAAAGCGGCTGGCGGGAAAAAAGGTACTTCTCGTTGTGACGCACTTGTGAACTGCTTGCTGAACGAAAATGCGTTATTTGTATTCTTGAAGGAGCGCTCGTAGCGGAACCGGACTCCACGGTGGGCGATGAGGCAAGCAAGTCGAGCTCCAAAGGCAAGAAGGCGAAGCGTGAGTCTCTCGTAAAATTTCTTTTGTGGAAAGCTCAGATATATGATTGTTTTCTCCTATTTCCACAGCTGTACTCGCTGAAGAGCGAAAGGATCGTGAGTGCCTTTGAAACACTGTACAGTCTTTGAAATCGTCGCAAAAAATTAATACCGATTGTCTTTTTAATTACAGAGGAGGACGTGGTGGACCAGGACCTCGATGACGTTGCTCCGGATTCAGGTATTAATTCAGTGAAACTGTTCGATATTTCTCAACAACGGGATCGTCGATGCAAAATTTGTTGATACTTGGTAGCAAGCCAAGTTGAAAAGATATACTTTTTTTAACCTCGAAGAATATACAGTATAAAAATCCTGCTTTTGCTTGACCTGATTTTGAATGACGGTGGTTTCCGTTCAGGGGAACCTTTTTGTTTAGTCTTCCTTCTGCTATGATCTAATAAAATAATGGTTTCTCTCTTGTGTTAGCAGTTGCTGCCATCGACCCGGAGGAAGCTGCTTCTCGTCCGAAAAAAGGTCGACAGAAGAATGGTGAGGGTTTTTTTTTCTTTTGCCGAAATTTTACGTTTATTTTGTACATTGATGCCTCATTCGTAGGCGCAGCGGTTGTAGAGGAGAAGACGAATCAGAAGCCCGGGAAGGAAAAGCCGAACAAACGTAAGAATCTTTTTTCTAGTTCGTACTTTGAATTAGATGTCAGTCATGGTCTTCTCTATTGCAGGTGCAGCACTAAAGACAGATGATGCGTCCTTAACTGATCTGTCTCCTGTGAAGAAGCCCGCTGGCAAGGGCAGTCGTCCGAAAAAAAGTACAAATCTGATAACCTAATTCCTCTTTTGTTCTGAAGCTATAATTACACACATGTCTTAGTAACAGTATACTGTACCTTTAAATGATGGTCTTGGTAACGTCGAAAGCGTGTGAAGGGAATGGTTCTTTTTAAGTTGTTCCACGGTGTGCTAATTTAACCATGTAAGAAAGAGTGTTTTGGATACAAGAGATTTTTTTCATGGAATACTGTATTAGCCTACATTAGTTAAATTATTAATTTGTCTTGAGGTTAGTTTGACGATGAAATAAATATGTTAGGATAGCCCTCCCAACTTATACCCGATTTTGGGTGGGTAAATGGTTGTGGCACAGTACTGTATTAGCTCTGTTAGCTATAGGCGTTCATTAAGTTGGTTTATTTTATTATTTGTTGAATTCGGTCTGGTGAATTGACTTTTTATTATTTTGTCTTCGAAATGTCTGCGCAACGTTAAAAATATTTACAAAAAGGCAGCTTTGGAGTACATTAGCAAGTTTTCGGCAAATTCATCTTTGCACTGATCAGTTCACGTTCCCGAACTTGTTGACGTGATGTGAAATTAGGTGGATTGACGTATTGAAAATTAGTGAGTTCACATCTGAAGTGCTTCTTTCTTTTCTTTTGTGCTCAGCAGTTGTGGAAGATGCGTCGTCCACCGAGGAAGTCACAGAGCCCGCGGAAGGAAGACGTCCGAAGAGAAATGCAGCCGCGGGTAAGTCTATTTCGTACTCATCTTGAATAGAGGCCATCAAATCCGTTTCTTCATTGCAGCGGCAGCTGTGGCAATGGCTGAGGGTGCTTTAGCAGAGAAGCAGTTTGAATCTAAACGAAAGAAGAAGGGTGACTTGGAAGAAGGAAAGAAGCAAGCGCCTAAAGAGAAGAAGTCGCGTGCTAAGAAGAACGCAGCTCCTGCTACCGCTGAAGAAGAGGAAGAAGAACACATAGAAGAAGATGACGGTGAAGTGAAGGCATCCGTTGCGGAGGATGAGGAAGAGGAGGAAAAGCCAGTGGTTCCTGTGAAAGGCAAATCTGCTGGTAAGAAGAACAAAGTCGCGCCTGGCAAGAACAAGAAACCTGCTGATGAAGAAGATGAACAAGACGAGGTTGCCGAAGCTCAAGACGAAGAAGTCGAAGCTGGCAAGTGTTTCTCGATTTTAAAAGCCTTCAGCGTTGATAATACAGTATTTGTGCATCTTTTTGGTGTGTAGGAAATAAGCCTGGCGCTAAACGGGGGAGGCAAAAGAAGGCCAAGTGAAGTCGTGAAAAGTATATTTTGTGACCTCATTTCCGACCCACGAGCATGAGGGCAACCGGCATTCTTCCTCAGTCAATCTCATTGACGGTATTTTTTTCGGTTGCCAGCATTGTTCGTGTTGAGAAGGAAAAAGAAATCAAGAGCTTTTTGATCTCTTCCCGTCTGCAAGTCCGCGGTGTTTGCTGGTGTGTTTTTCGTGATTGGTTTCTGTTCCCTTGGTTGCGTGCTTGAGTGCGTAAACGGAAAGGACAGAATCGCGAAAAGAAAGACATGAATAAAAATTAATCTCGAAGGGTCACTTTGCTGTTTTCATTTATTCCGCTAACTCTGGAACTGTGTCGCTAAAACTCGATTAGTTTAAACATAAGAGGTGGCATGATGACAGAAAGTTGTGGAAGTTTTTATTTTTGCCCATTCTGGCTTTATGTATGGCGTGGTTCACGGTTGGGCGTCATACACAGATCAAAACATCAATTTAGAATAGCATGTTATAATCTCTTTCATGAAATCTCACGTTGAAAGATCTAATTGTAACAACATTGAACTCTATAATCGTGAGTAGGAGCTTATTTTTTTGTAGTAGATTCTCGTTGGTCATGATAAATTCATAGCATTTTTACTCCTCTGGAAGTTGTCCACGAGAGAAGCTTGGAAAGATGCGCGCATCGTAAGAAGGATGTTCAAATTTTTCGAATTCTTTGAAAGTAATGACCAAGTTCATAACTACAATTTTCTATAATTACCAGTTCAAATGGGGAATCGCTTTGTAGGATAGTAGAAAAACTCCATTTGAAAACTAGAGGATCCAATATATCTGCGTAATGTACAACACAGTACAGTGTACAGAGATGTAATAACCACGGGACGAGATGAACGACTTGAGAAATTAATGATTGCTTCCATATACTGTACTTCACAAAATTTAAATTCATTAAGTTGATGGATTCTCAGGAAATGAGAGTTGCATGTCGTTCCGTATTCGAGATTTTCGAAACATATTGTGACGTTCCAACGTGGCTGCATACTAAATGAGTAAAGCTGGTGGATATGTAATGATTAATGCTTTTTAAATTTGCCTCCCCATGCAGCTGAGCATTTCACAAAATTCGCTTACTGTATGCTCTTCCGGTGTAGCAGGCAGGGCGTACTCCCCAGGTACAGCGTACTCCCCCTGCAGGAGGATTAGTCCACATCCGCGGAGTGCGATTCAGCAGATGCTCTTCTGCAGTTATCACTTACGCAGTGGTATCTTCCACAGAATTCAGAGGAAAGTTGATTCCACAATGTTTCTTGAAGCAGCATTTACTTTGGCAAAAATAATGATGAATTCTGCGGAAATCTATTTTCAGGGGAGGCCTTGGAGCTATCCCACTTGGGGGTAGCCATGCCCAAACCAATGCTCTCATAGATGTCGCTAAGAACAACATACAGAATTTATCAGCAGCATCCATGTGTGGCTCTCAAAAATGAATCCTCTTTACCCCAATTATAAGGTCAGGTTATGTTAGTTAATAATTAATGCAAAAGTACAGTAGAACTTCGGACAAGAAAGCGTTTCAGACCTTGAAAACGCTTTGTCATATACAAAAATTTGTCAAAAAGAAATTTAAAT